AACGTACTAGACCTAAACCAATAAACATCAGAATGCAAATATAAATAATCTGATATTTTGGAAATGGGGTTTTTAAGTGTTTTACACTCATAAAAAAAAAGAAACCTATCATGCTACAAGTTCTTCAAATACCTACAGAATGATAGGTTTATTTTTTTTGTGAGTGTAAAACACTTAAAAGCTTCATTTCGATTTTCGATACCTCACTACTATAAAGGCTTGGTTTGGTCTGAGGTTTCATTCGGTGGTCGTGTCCAGGGTCACTGATGAGGAGTGGAATTCTCCGAAACTAGTCTGGCCAACAGACATACCCCCAATGAAAGAATAGACCATTCCAAGCTTCTACTTGTTTTTAAATAAATGTTTAAACAGCTCTGTTCAACTAATCTGATATTTTGTGTATAATATAAAAAGAGCTGTTAATGAAATAGATAAACTATAAAAGCCATTATTACCCCACATCCAACTTATTAATAAGATCCTCAGAATACAGTAGATTTCAAGAAGGAATGATATTCATGACGGAGGAAGAGAGCATAAAGTACAGCATATATACTTCAAAGGGATAGACACTCAACATGTATCAAACTGAGACTTCTGTGTGAGAAAGAGGTATTGAAGCGTAGTAAGTTGTGTCCTTATAATACATAGCACAGTGCAATTTCGGCATAAGTAGATTTATTAACAATGACTAAAACCTTACATGTTTTGGGGCAATTAGACTTATTCTTGGACACTTTACTTTTACCCCTGTAAAATGGCAAGAAAATCACAAATCTAATATCAGTTACTTTGGTTTGGGAGAGTTGTCGTAAGGTATTTTTATAAAAGTTCTCACCTCGATTGATCGAAATAGAAAAAACAAAACAAATAGCAGGCTAAAAATGCTAATTTTGCGATTTGTTTTTTTAACTCTGAAAGGTGAAAATAAAACAGGAACAAATCCCAAATCCGTCTGCTTTATCCCTGTCTCACCAAACATGCTCGCCCTTTCAGCCGTGGGGGCGTTATAATGTGACGGTCAATCTCACTATTCGTTGGTAAAAGAGTAGCCCATGAATTGGCGGTGGGTGGTGATGACTAGCTGCCTTCTCTATAGTCTTACACTTCTAAATTAGGGACGGCTAGCGCAGATAGCCCTCGTGTAGCTCTGCACAAAATTCAAACCAAACTAACAAACAAATCGTCTACTTTAGTGTGTAGGGTTGTCAATTCGTACCTAGTCTCGTTCAAATGATGAAAGTATAAGGGAAATGCAAGCCAAAATATGTATTCTTGTAAGGCTTGAGCTATGACCACATAAAATCGGAAAAGGGCCTGAAAATAAAAAAGGTGTCTGGGCGTAATAAACCAATGTATATGCTTCCCTTATTTCATGGCGATCAGCCCAGAAATAAAGGAATTGCGCAAAACTGTTTGAAAGAAGAAGAAAGAAAGAAACAAGAAATACAATATGTCTCCTTTTTTATGGGGGGCCACATAAATATACATTATTTCGCCACGTTCTTCTGCCCCTTCGAGATGCGACCTGTATCCGTCATCGCGCGGATATATTTTATTTGAGTTCGATAATTTTCTTTTCCACATTATAAATAATTCTTCAAATTGTTAATTTTTCCTGGATCACAAATCTGTGGTTATTTTATAGATTTTTTATAATATTTTACATGCATAATGGCGACAGGACAGGCTATAGTTACATATTTTGAGCATTGAACATAAACAAGCACGTTCTATCTTTTTTACGTCTGACGAAGATGGCATACTTCATCGTTCAGATCGTTAGATTTTTTAGCACTGATTTATCTGTTCTGAATCTACCTATATTTAACCTATTCCGTATACATATTCGTGTTCATGATTTTCCTTAAACAAAAACTGGTAATTCTTATCTTCTATTTCAATTACTTATGTGGTCCGACCTGATAACTGATATAATTTTTATAAAACAAAAACTTCGGTTATTATGTGCATGTACTTATATTTTCGTCACACAACAGTGGTTTACTTCTGAATGAAATTATAATTTACTTCTCACAGCCAATGATTACTGCTATCAGTCGGCTTCTGACACCACTTTTGTGGAGTTTGTGCTTATTTCTATCAGGAATTGATTACTATCAAATTTTAAAATATAATTCTGTTTATCACTAAATCAATAACACAAAGATTTAAATTAGGTTTTATTTCTTACTGGCAGCATATCTTTCTCTCGTCCCTCTCTCGGTTTCTACGTTTGCTCTCACACCTCCCAATATTCCTCTTTTCTTCTGTTCAACGCCTTTCTTTTATAATTCTTTCTCAAAACTACGCCAGCAGATCTCTTTCTGTACAAAGGTGCACACGTTTTCGACAAGTAGCATTATAACGCTCATAGTCATGGAGGTTCCATAGTGGCTAAACAAGAAAGGCGGCCGACCTCTCCAATAATTCTCTAAGTACTTAGTGCTGTAATCCCCTAATCCTTTAGGAACTGACCAAAAGTTGGCCGCTTTCTCACCTCTCTCGGCACCAACCGATTCTTACACCGAACATCTTTATAATTACTTCTGCAGAACATTGATATTTACGTCACGCAACCATGGGCTACTCCTCCTCGAAATTATAGTTTACTTCTCATAACCGATGACTACTTCTGCAGCTCATTGATACTTACGTCATACAACCATGGTTTATTGATGCTTAAAATTATAGTTTAATTCTCACAATCAATGAGTCCTTCTGAATGAAATTGTAACTTGCGTCATATAGCCATGTATTAAAGATGCTTGAAATTAATTCTTATAGACAGTGATTACTTCTGCAGAATGTTGATATTTACGTCACACAATCGTTACTGCTGTTTGAAATTATAACTTACTTCTCTCACCCATGAACTACTTTCTGCGTACAATTATAACTTACGTCACACAATTACAGATGTGTTTTGTTGTTGTTGTTGTTTTTTTTTTTCTTTTTTGCATGGTTAATATAATTTTCTTCACGCAACAATAGGTTAATTTATGCATGGAATTGTTTTTTCAAACAGCAGCGAATTTTTAGCTTTAAGAAAGCTAATTTTCATACAAATAGTTTATCTAAAAACTTTGTAAAACGTATTAGCAATTACTTCTATTATTTTAATAAGTTCGTTACATTCTGAAAGCCAACAAAAATAATTTTTGTGTACAAAATATCCTCTCAAGTACCGCCATAACAAAAAACGTCATAAAATTCTGACGTCAATAGAGGGCGTATGCTGTTCAACGAAACGGAATAGAATTCCGCCTACGATGCGGGGGAAGATATAGAAAATACGTTTATTGGTTGAAGCTAACAGACAGTCACGCCTTCTACTGAACATAATTACATAAAAATAAGATAGCCATGACTCAAGTTCGTTTATCATACAAAAGACCAATCTCTTTCGTTTTATGTATTTTCCATACCAATTTCTTTCATTTTATGTGTTTGCCAATAGCAGTTTTTCTTTCTTAAATTACGACAATTTTTCCTCAGTGGAATAACGGCCAGTCTACGAACTTTTAAGGCTAAAATCCAATGTTCGATTCACCACAGTGGATATAGCAAATATCCCAATGCGACTTTACATTTAAAACAAACAAAATTAATATGGGTGGTTTGTGTGTGTGTGTATATATATATATATATATATACATATATATTAAGTAGAATATTAAGTACATAAACACTATTACCTAAAGTATGACTTTATTGTTACTATATTGTCGCTTTTAAATAAATTGTAATACTTTTGTTGTATACTAATCTTAGTGATACGAACGTGTTAATAGATATGAATTTGGTGTTTTTACATTTTTTATATGTTAGTATGGTTAAACCGAGCCGAGTTGTAGTCTTATAAATAATTTTTGCAAAGTAATCAATGAAAAATTAATTAATTAATATAATCATTTACCTAATTATACGTTGGGTCAACGATATATTTGACGATAAACATTACAAGTTACAATGCAAACAATCCTATTGATTTGGTTGTGGGGTGAATTTCCCTCAAAGCTACACGAGGGTTATCTATGCTAGTCGTCCCAAATTTAGAAGTTATAGAGCAGAAGAAAGGTAACATGACAATACCACTCACCGCCAATTTTTAGATTACTGTTTTATCATCGAAAAGTGGGATTGACTATCACATGATAAGTCTCCGCGGCTGAAAGGGCGAGTATGTTCGGCAACGGGATTCGAATTCGCGAGTCGAGCGCCCTAACCACCAACTCCATGCGAGGCCCCAGTCCTATTGAATGAGTGATCATTTTAAATATTAAATTGCATTAAATAGTCTGCTAAATAAGTGATTATATTTATTATATAGGTTTGTTTGTTTGTTTGTAATTAAGCACAAAGCTACACAATTGGCTCTCTGTGTTCTCCCCACCACGGGTATCTAAACCCGGATTCTAGCGTTGTAAGTCCGCAGACATACCGCTGTGCCACTGGGGGGCTATTATGTAAGACCTATAATAAAAAGAATATACAAACAAGACTGATATGCACTGTGTCCACCAACTCCATGCCAGGCCCATAGTCCTATTGATACCAGCCGTATCCTATGTGAACTTTTATAACCAGCCTTACAATAGTCACAAGTAAGACGTTGCTTCACAAGTAAGACTATTAAGTCTAGCGTACACTTCCAAGATAAACAGTCGTCTATACACAACGAAGCCAAAAAAAAAAGTAAAACAAACTTAGTTAACTTCACTAAATTAACAACTATACTTTTACTTTTACAATGATATTTTAGAGTAAATTGCCCAAATCATTTGTAATGTGAATTAGGCCGCTCATGTTTTGTGTCTCGAATTGTATTAAACTCGATATGATTTGATCGGTAATAATTTAGTTTAGGTACTTGAGGATTTTTCGAAGAATTCCTTATTATTCAAGATTTCAAGATGATTATGTAATCCCACGTCACATTTTCTGTGGGGGTAAAGTTATACATCACTATATCATTTTCATTTCATTATCTATCCAAGGTGCTACCCAGGGAGAGGCTTACGACTATGGCGCTATATATTTCACAGGACCAGCAGGGCCCTACAAAGTCCAACGTCATGCAGCAAACGTGAGGGAAAGAAAACGCATGATGAGTATCAACAGCGCGTTTGAAGAGCTGCGTTATCATGTTCCAACTTTTCCTTTCGAGAAAAGACTTTCCAAAATTGATACTTTAAGACTGGCCATCTCTTACATTGCTCTCTTGAGAGAGATCCTTGTTTCGGAATATGATCCTATGACACACATTGAGAAATGCCTAAAGGGAGAGATGAAAGGAGAGAATTCAGGATTATGGAATACCAGTGGTAAGCAATATTATCTTCTTACTTTGTATAACCATATATTATAGGATACTTAAGATTTTTATTTTCTCTTTCTAACAGTTTCGAAACGCTTACTTCACCGGAAATCCATAATGAATTTTATTTTGTCCTGTACTCGCACTTAAACTAGGATAACAAGGAAAACCAATCCTAATTTCTTTATTAAAGACTAAAAATAGAAAATCGTGGTTAAATAGGTTATATTAATATAGGCAAGCTATGGATTTGGTTTTTAAAAATTGGGAAATCCAAGTGAGCTTATGAGGAACGGCTGGTTGATAATGTTAAAACTTCCTGCAAGGATTTTGTTAAGTAGGTTAAAGGTAAACAAAGTGTTAAAATGAGGACTGGACATTTAAAAGATGCCGATGGCAATGTTTTTGTTGGAGATTATGAGTTGTTGAGCTTTTGAATGTTCTCTTCAGATACTAGAGATATTCATAACACTGAGTAGTTTATGAAATATATATTGGAATTGCCCTGAATAATGTACATAAAATTTATGGTAAGTTGAATCATGTACATATTACTCTCTTGGTGGTAAGTTCACAGCCTGGGATATTTAAAACAGAAGAAGCACTAAGACCAAATAAAGTTTTCCCTGGATTTCAAATGATGTCAAAGATCAGACATGTGAGCCTCTCTCTTTCATTTCTAGTATGTCAATAAACAGTTGCCAGGTGCATGAGGATTGAACAGTTGATAGTGTTACTCCTAATATTTAAGGGGGTGATAAGAATTGCCCTGGAAATTATAGGCCTCATTATTTAAGAAAGTGTTATGAATGCTTGGAAAGGGTTCAGAGAAGGGATACTAGGATGGTTCCGGGGATGGAAGAGTTATCTACATGGGCGCCCGCAGGAGCAAGAGGGAGCATTTGCCTCCTTGCATTCACAAAAAAAGCGCACGTATAATGATGTAAGTTTAGCATCGTAGTTAAACTAAATATTTTTAGTAATTTTTATTAAAACTGTAAATTTGTGTTTGCATATAAGCACACATAACAAATATTCTTTTAGTCTGTTGACTTACACTGTAAAAACTGATCCTTTACATACGTATTATGCCCCCGGAATATATTTCTGTGGGCGCCTATGGTTATATATACGAACAGGTTATGATTTCTTAACTAATTTTCTTGAGAGAAAAAAAAGGAGGTAAAAGGTGATTTTATTGACTCTCACTTTTATAAACGTACACAACTTAAAGTGTGGGCCTTTTCAGCGGCATCAAATCTTAAATCCCCAAACTGTGGATCCGCAGTCCGACACGCTACATACTAAGCTACGCCCGACCCATAACCTAGTGATAATGACCTTTCTTACGCAGCTTTTATATACATTTGTTCATTAAGAGCTTGAATTCATAAGTAGAGATACAAAGTTTGCCGCGTATTACTTAAAAAAAATATAAATACAAAACATAAAATTATATTTTTGATATGATATGCCATTGAAGTTGAAAACGAGTCCGTGACTTTCGTCACGTGCCTTTCAATTAATTAAAGAAATGTGTAAGAACCTACAATGCTTAAGATAGAAATAATATTTAATTGGACAATAATAATGCAATATTAAAACAATGGAACAAGAAGAAGAGTATTAACACAGTTATGTTGCACGTGGCAGCTTAGAACGTTGTATTATACGCTGTATTTCTGACATACGCGTGGGTGAATAAAATATATGGATTATTAGTGAACTAATTCTTTTTTTTCTTCTCTCTCTCTCTCTATTTCTGGCTAGATCTCACAGCAAGACTTTCATGGATCAACTGGGAAAACCTAGGAGTTAACCCTAATCGTCGAAGTGTGCTTACCACCCTATCCTTGACTGCTGATTCGTTGGCGTGTCACAACGGCACGTGACGACATAATACTGTCATTCACTTGTAACGTGCAATGTTCAATTTCATTATTTCAATCTAAAATCTTTTAATGAACGCATGTATATAAATTAAGGAAGTGACGCGAGTATAAATAGTAATAAAGAAAAGTATAAAAGATAATCATTAAATAATTTTAAAACATAACCTTTCTCTACATATAGAACCGAACAAACTTTGTCAATTTCAGTTGTGGCTCCTATTAATCTTGTACATACATATAAATATATATATACATATATAACTGATGTAAAATGATTTATTTAGTAGAAGAAATAAAACGTTTAATTATTCACTTATGTAGCTTCTGTTTCTTTTATTGCAGAATGTTGGTGATTACCGTATCACACATGAAACAAAGAATTGTTACACACGTATTTTCAATGAACTACTATGTTTACTGGTATCACATTAAGTTATTTCGCGCGTTCTTTAATGGAAACAGGATAGTTTGTTCGCTTTCATTCCGAATTTCCGAAATAACTTCTTCGACACCGAGAAATATCACTCTCTTCTCTGTATACATATATTATGCTTTATTGAAGATTAACTGAATAACTTAATACAGTTCTAAACTCAGTTTGCAACTGAGCCTAAATTCAGAAAACCAAAAAGTAGTTAATATAATGAAATTTAAAATAGTGATAATGAGACGTATATACACACAGTCAGGCTTCGAAGATGGCTGAATCCCAAGTTATCACATTTACCGTGATTAAATAGAGTTGTTTGTTTGTTTTGAATTTATGCACAAAGCTACACAAAGAGCTATCTGTGCTCTGCCCACCACGGGTATCAAAACCCGGTTTCTAGCATTGTAAGTCCGCAGACATACCGCTGTGCCACTGGGGGGGGGGGGTGATTAAATAGATAGATCACAACCTATTTATAGCTACAAGATTTATACAACATAAATGATATTTCTACCTGAGTAACAACAAATGTGCAGACGATATTAAAACACATATTGAATAAGATTAATTATTAAAAAGAGTAACAGTCAACAGACTTTAAACTTTTCAAACAAGTATATATATAACCAAAACTGAGATTTCTATTATGAGCTTTTAACCTATGAAAAGAAAAAAATTACCTAAAAATGTTGACCATTGCCAGTCCTTGTCATTTTCCATTAACTCAAAACGGAAAATGTCTTTGGTCATAGCAACCAAAGGCACTGTGGATATTCCATCTATCAGACAAGATCCAAACGCAAACGTCAAACTAGTTAGCTGTTACGGAAGATCAAATTAGGGATTAGGAGTTGAGTGCTTTGACCCAAAACGTCTCACCTCCTACTGCCTTTCGCTGTCTGCAGCCAGCAGTTGGAAGGCAGTCACTCCTAATGTTTTGACATAAACCATCATATATTGCTACATTTGTACGACCTTCACCTGATAGAAGGCGTATCCCCACAGCTATGTGTGTCCTACTTCCGCAGTCATCTCCAAAAACCAGGACATATCATATATTTCACACATAGCCTGCACCCTTGGGACATTATTTTGTTATGCAGCGTAAAATGTTTATTAAGGATATATTATAAATATATGATATTTCATCAAAGATTTGGACTCGTTTTTAACGCAGTCCTTCTTTTTGATGTAAATATTAACTAAACTGTTTAAATAATATTCATGTTTACATTATAGATAGGTTTTATATACATGTGAAGTTTCTAGTTGAATTAAACAATAAAAATGCCTTACTTGTAGCATTTTTGAATAACATACAGCTACACCGGTACATTGCTTATTAAAAAGCATTGTATTATATCAGTATGCACGAACTCATAAATAGTTAACCATTTTTCTTACAGATTTGATCCAAAACATAAACATCACGTGTGTTTATCACTTAAACGTTTACATTTAGATAAAAATCAGCTCCGTTTGTTAGACTGATTGCGTATCATTTCGTGTTGAAATACTGATAATATCATCTTTTTCTCTCGACTATATGTGTATGTCCAGTACGGTTCAGAAGTTCATTAAGAGGCAATTATTAGGTCGTCAAGAAATTAATGTCGCTTTTTTTTAGATTAAAAAAACCCGAACAACTTGTATATCAAAACAAAATATTTATTAAATGAAATAGTCTTCATTCTTGTCAATGATGCTTTTCCATCTTACAATCAGGTTGTTAATGTCCTGATTATAAAAATCACTTGGCTTTGAAGCGAAAAACATGTCGATGTCCTCTTTAACACCTTCCATATTTGCATACGTTTGTGGCATGGCCAGGTGGTTAGAGAACTTGACTCGCAATCTGCGGGTCGGGGGTTCGAATCCCCGTTCCACCAAACATGCTCGCCATTTCAGCCGTGGGAGCGTTATAATGTGATGGTTAATCCCACTATTCGTTGGTAAAATAGTAGCCCAAGAGTTGGCGGTGGGTGGTGATGACTAGCTGCTTTTCCTCTAGTTTTACACTGCTAAATTAGGGACGGCTAGCGCAGATAGCTCTCGTGTAGCTTTGCGCAAAATTCAAAACAAACAAACAATGCATACGTTTTCCCATTAAGATGGTGTTGCAGCGAACGAAAAATATGGTAATCTGATGGTGCCATATCTGGAGAATATGGTGGGTGGGGGAAACTTCCCAAGTCAACTCCATAATCTTGTGTTGCGTTAAACGTGCCACATATGGACGTGCATTGCCGTGGAGAAGAAGAACACCTTTCCGACAGTTTGCTGTGGATTGAGGAGTTCGAAATGAATTACTCCTTTGATGTTCCACCAGATGAAAAGCATCACTTTCTGCGGATGGAGTCCAGTTTTGAGGTCGGAAGTAATTTTTGTCTAGGACTGAGCCATTGCAATTTCAGGGCCATTTCATGAGTGTTTTGCCTTGGGTTAGACTCAACAAGCGTCTTCAGAGCATCAATATCAATTCCAACATGTCGGCCCCTGTCATCACAGTTTTTAAGGCTAAAGTCACCTGAACGAAATTTGCTGAACCATCGTTGACACTTACGAAAGTTCAAAACCTTTCCATAAACTTCTTTGACATTCTTTGTGGTTACAGAGGCGTTGTATTCAAAAAGCATTACATGCCGAATGTGTGTCTCGTC